GGAGGAGGAGGAGGAGGAGGAGGAGGAGGAGAGGAAGAGAGAATCCCAAGCAGACTCCATGCCGTCAGCGCAGAGCCTGACGCGGGGCTCAAGCTCACGAACTGTGGGATCATGACCCGAGTCAAAGTCGGGTGCTTAACGGACTGAACCACCCAGGTGCCCCTTTCTCACCAACACTTATTATTTTCTTGTCTTTTTGACAATAGCTGCCTAACAGGTGTGAGATGGTAATCTTCCTATAGTTTTGATTTGTTGTTTGGTCTGGTTTTAGGTGGCTGTCTGCTTTTTGTGTGAGAATTTTCTCTGTTCTGTTTTTATGTGACTGTTCAGGAAGATCCAAAACCTATTGCCACCACCTTCCCAGGAACTCTATGTATTACTTTTTGTAGCTAAGAACCCCTGAGGTATGGGAAGCTTAATCTGGGCATTATTTGGAAGGTCGCTATGGCAGGGAGCCAGTGTTGATTTCTGAGGAATGGAAGCGTCATCAGGTCGGTTCAGAAGTTTAACTTGGCAGAAGTTTGGCGATTGGGGAAAGGTAGCGGAACGGGAAAGGCCAATTATGACGGTACCTCAGCCCTCCAAATGGGAGATGCTACTGAGGGAGGGGTGAGGGGGAATGGGTGTGAGAAACACGGTGGGGGCCGAATCAAGTGGCTTGGTGATGGGTGGCAGGAGAAGAAGGAGAGTTGGAGACGTGCCAGTCAAGCGGAAACTCCTAGAATGAATGTCTGGGGAAATGGCAGAGTCCCAAACGTCAGTAGGGATGAGGGAGTGACCGCCGAGAGGGGGACCAGGGGGTTGAGGGCGAGATATCACTGAGGTCTCGAAAATCAGTTTGGCGAGTTACGGGGTCCTGGGCGGAGACGCGGGTGGGTGTCCGGAGCTCGGGGAAAGATCCACGCCGGACACACACGGATGTGGGGGTCGTCTGCGTTCCGCACCCAAGGAAAAGATGACAAATGGGACTAAAACAATATCTGCGGAAAAGTGAGAAAAACTGCTTGTGAGATGAAGGAACCATCTGGCTACATCAAAAATAAAAAGGCAGCACGGAAGCTTTATGTGCGCAGGAAGGGCCCGTGGCTTTCTCTCCGAGTGGTCTGGCTCTGTTTACGGGGGAGTCTCTGAATGTCAGGATTTGGTTTCTTGGTTTTGTTTTTTTATTTCAGAGAGAGGGAGAGTGTGCGCGTGAGCAGGGGACGGACAGAGGGAGAGAGAGAGAGAGGCCGTTAAGCAGGGCTCGATCCCACGACCCTGGGATCGTGACCTGAGCCGAAATCCAGAGTCGGACGCTCAACGCCTGAGCCACCCGGGCGCCCCACTGAACGTCCACATTTGGAGATCTGTTCTCCGGGGTCATTCACATCACACCCCCTCGTAAGCCTTATGCCCCGCCCCAAATCGTCTCTGCGTTTACTGCTCCAGGTTCATTTCCTCTTGGTTTCAGTTTCTCCGGAGAAGAAAACCTTGACAGGTGGGCAGTGCCCTTGGGGGACGTACGCCTGTACCCCTATGCCTGTACGTGTACGGATCTTCGGCCCAGCCCTGTGCCACGCACACGCGTTCCGGGGTAAACGGTACCTCCCAGGCTTGGGCCTCTGAGAGCTTCCCGGGGACGGTCCTCAGCCTGGTGTTTATTGTTAACCCCCCCTTGCTGCACTTTGTAGTGTCTGCAGTGTGAATCTTCAATCTTCACGAACACTCAAAGTCTGTTATGCTGAGAGTCTTCCGTCCAGTGTTGATTTTGTCCCCGCACACGCACACGTTTTACTTCCTCACTGCGTGCTGGTGGGGCGCCTGGGTGGCTCAGTCGGTTAAGCGTCCGACTTCGGCTCAGGTCACGATCTCGCGGTTCACGAGTTCCAGCCCCGCGTCCGGCTCTGTGCCGACCGCTCGGAGCCTGGAGCCGCTTCGGATTCTGTGTCTCCCTCTCTCTGCCCCTCCCCCACTCACGCTCTGTCTCTCTCTCTGTTTTAATAAACATTAAAAAAAATTTTTTTAAAGAATGGGATTAGTGATGGCAAATTTGCACAAAAGAATGCCACGCAGTCACGAGAATGAAAGAACAACTGATGAGCAACCACGGGAACGAATTTCACAAACACATTGTTGAACAAAAGGAATCAGACGGGAAAGAGTACGGATGCTGCAACTTTATACAAAGTACGGGAACAGGCAAAACGAATCCATGGTGCCATAGGTCGCAACAGTGGTTATCCTTTGGAGGAGGGTACTGACAGGGAGGGCTCATGAGAGACTTCTGGGGGACTGGTCATTTTCCATGGTGATTGTTTTTCCCTTTTATCTGGGTGCTGATTAGATATGAGTGCGTCCAGCCTGAGAAAGCCATCAGGTTGTACCCTGGTAACAATCCACTTTTATATATGTAACTTGTACTTCGAGACATGAAGATTAAAAGAGGATTGGCCACAGTTAAGCCACATGGACCTTCAGGGTGAAGTTACTTAGTATCTAATACAATTTAGGAAAAGGACCCCTTTGCCAATATCGTTGTCAGATGAAAACAAATCCAGACTTAAGTAAGTGGAAATTATTCAAGAGTATTGCATGGGGAGACCACTTTGACCACAAGATCTGCAAGTGTCTCAAATGTCAGACAGAAAGAAATTTTCTCTGGTATGAGAAGTGTTCAAGCTAGAAAGAACCAGGGGTGGTGATGTGGTCAAACCTTGGAGCAGAAAACCAACCAACCAACCAACCAACCAACCAACCAACCAAATGAAACCCTTGGAGCAGAAAGTATCTCTCCTTCAGGTTGGCTGAAGGGGTGTTCCCCAATACTAGAAATTCCCTTTGATTTTTTCTGACCTCTAGCCCTCTGCATTAAGGTTGGGCGTGGGGTGGGGGAGATGGGCCGTAAACGCCTGGTGCATACCGTCCAGACGCATCATTGATTCTCCCGGGGGAAGGCAAACAGGTGTTGGGAATCCCTCTATGAGGCAGGATCAGGAGTCCGTAACAGTGACGTAACAGGTCTTGGGGAGGACTGAAGGCAGGGTGGCATGAGGGGTTGAAACTCGAGGGAATCTGGCCTTTATTTGTTTATTTATGGGCCACACGTCTTGGACTCGTATACATCTTTCTTCCCATTAAGGTTTTGTTTTTGTTTTTGTTTTTTTAATGTCTGAGAGACAGAGAGACAGAGTGTGAGCAGGGGAGGGGCAGAGAGCGAGGGAGACACAGAATCCGAAGCAGGTTCCAGGCTCCGAGCTGTCCGCACAGAGCCCGACGCGGGGCTCGAACTCACGGACCGCGAGATCATGACCTGAGCCGAAGTTGGACGCTCAACCGACTGAGCCACTCAGGCGCCCCTCCCATTAGGTTTTAAAAAAATTAATCGGCTTTAGTTTTTAGAGCAGTCTTAGATTTACAGAAAATAATTGAGTAGACAGTACAGAGAGTTCCCAACACATCTCTGCTCCCCCATCTTGTGTGTAGTTTTCCTATTAATGTTACACATTATTAATAATACATAATGTACCTTGCAGTGATGTTGTACATTTGTTACAATCATTGACCTGATCCTGATACAGTAACTAAACTAAAGCGACTATCGTACCTAATATAAGAATTGACGGGGGCGCCTGGGTGGCGCAGTCGGTTAAGCGTCCGACTTCAGCCAGGTCACGATCTTGCGGTCCGTGAGTTCGAGCCCCGCGTCAGGCTCTGGGCTGATGGCTCAGAGCCTGGAGCCTGTTTCCGATTCTGTGTCTCCCTCTCTCTCTGCCCCTCCCCCATTCATGCTCTGTCTCTCTCTGTCCCCAAAATAAACGTTGAAAAAAAAAATTAAAAAAAAAAAGAATGGACGAAAGTCCATAGCTTACGTTAAAGTTGACTCTTGGTGTTACAGTTATGAGGTTTTGACAAGGGTGTGATGACGTGTATTCCTCGACGGTATCCTACAGATTGGTCTCACTGACCTAAACTCCCCCTATTCATCCTGCCTGCCTCCCCCACAGCCTCTTTGGCAACCACCCATCTTCTGTCTCTGCGATTTGGCTTCTTCCAGAGTGTCATATAGTTGGAATTATGCGGTGTGGTGCCCTTTTTATTTTTATTTATTTATTTATTTTTGGGGGTGGGTGAAGAAGGGCAGGGGGAGAGAGAGAGAGAGAGAGAGAGAGAGAGAGAGAGAGAGAGAATCCCAGGCAGGCTCTGCACTGTCAGACAAGTCAATTTTAGATGGAAGGCTGTGGAAATAGAATCTGAAGTCTTTCCTATGATCTCTCCAGCTCTGTGATAGGTCCCAGCGTATTTCGGTTTAACTGTACATCTTTATGAATTTTGTAAATTTTGAGAAATTTGAGAAACTGTACTAATTGTTAAAGGTCTGAAAGCCCTGACAACAGGACCCTAAAACTCCCCTAAATAGTGCAGAACATCCCTGCCTTCAGTATAGTCTCATTTCGGACCTGCCCCTTCACAAAGCCACCACACGACAGCCATTGCAGTTGATGACTTCAGACGGGTCCACATGTGCCCAGTATTGGTCTCCTTTGGCTTCAGTCGCAAGCCCTGCTTCCTCTTTAAATCGCGGGGTTTCCTGGTGTGTAATAATGACCTTTACCATTTGCCGAATGCTTCTTTTAAAAAAAAAATATTTATTTTGAGAGAGAGAGAAGAGAGCGAGCGAGCACACGCAGCGGAGGGGCAGAGAGATAGGGAGAGAGAATCCCAACCAGACTCCGTACTCAGTGCAGACCCCGACGTGGGGCTCGATCTCACAACGGTGAGATCACGACCAGGGCTGAAACCAAGAGTTGGACGCTTAGCCAGCTGAGCCCCCCCAGGTGCCCCTTTGTTGAATGCATCTTAAACATTACATATTGTGTTAAGAGCAGTTTCCACAGTAACCCTTTCAGTGTCCAAGCAGCTTTATGATGTCGGTGTGATTGTTTTTATTTCGTAGCTGAGGACGCGGAGACTCTGAGAAGCTCGGTAACGTGTCACGGGTCGCACGGTCACAAGTTAGAGGCGGGGCCGGAATTGGACTGGAGCGTGTCTGGCTCAAAAGCTTGTGCCCTTAACCACCACTCCGGCTTCCCCCCTCATCTCGCACCCTGGGGTTCTTCCCTTGAGATGGTTTCAAATCTTTAGATGTCACTCAAAGCAGATGGCCTCGTCTGGACACGATTTAACCCTGTTTAACGTGGAGGACTTTCCCGTTGCCTAAAGATGTTGCGGCGGTGAGGATGGAGATTCCCAAAGTCCCCCCGACAAGTTTAACGTTAAGTTTTTGATTCCTATTTTCTAACTGGAGGTAACGGGCGGCTGTCGGGTTTTCCCCCAAAGGGCATATTTGCTGAAGGCGTAGTACCATGGTGGTCTCTTGGCAGGCATACCCGTGCTCCTGTGCCGTAGAGAAAAAATTCTGTGTTCTTTCCACAGGTAGATACACGTATCTATAGATCTGTATCTGTAGAGTAGATCTCTATCTGTCCGTATATCTTTAACTGTATATGTGTTTAACGATCTTCCCCGCGACTCGTCTCCCTGAGAAAGAAATTCACAGAGAAATCCACACAGAAATTTAGCGTACTATTTGGCGCACGGGCCATCGTCAGAGACTTACTGGCCAAGTAGAGTTGAAGTGTCTTAGCATCGAGCCTGGCACCTCCACGCGTCTCTGCTGACCTCTTTGCTTTATTTTGGGCCATCGATGGAAAGTACAAAACAGCACGGGGGTCCAGTCCCGAAACGTCACCGTCACAGGCTCACACGCTGGATTCCCGTCCAGTGGTGGAGATCGCGTGGCGTGGAAATGACGTGGCAGGGAAATACCCTGATACCTTTGGTCATCACTAGGGACACAAACGGAGACGGGGTAATGTCTGGGGAGACAGCGCCCTAAGATCTCTTCTTCCACCCAGATACCCTCTTTGGTTGCCAGGCTCTCTGCTTTCACAGTCCGGTACGAACCTTGCTGTCAGAAACCAGGTGCTGAGGTGATTTGGACGCCACCGTTCGTTCAGACTCACAGTCCATTTCTCGCTTTGGCGCCAGTGGTCCCAGGTCACTGACTGTCGTCGAGAAGCGCACCATCGTGGAGTCACGGAAGTACGGTGCTTTTCCATTGCGGGGAGGGGAGCTTGGACTAGACTGCTTTTCTCAAAGGCGGCTGTTACGTCTCCCAGAGCCACGGCCTTCGTGGTCATGTGGTACGAGCCCCGAAAGACAACCAGTGAGCGCTTAACCAAGCGCTTTGTTGCCGGACCCTCGCTAGCCCCCCACTCCACCTCGATTTTTCCACCGCACGTAGAGCTTACTAAAGACGTCAGTTCAAAAATGGTTCCATTATGGGGTGGGTGGGTGGCTCAGTCAGTTGAGTGTCTGACTCTTGATTTCAGCTCAGGTCATGATCCCAGGGTTGTGAGATCGAGCCCCACGTTGGGCTCCACACTGAGCGTTGAGCCTGCTTAAGATTCTGTCTCTCTCTCTCTCTCAAATGAAATGGCTCTATTATCAACCACCCCATTCTGGTCAATATTAAAAGAAGACTGATAGAACAAGTCACTAGTATTCCGTGGAGTTTGGCGTTTTGGAGGCAACTATTTCCTTTCTTCTCACCAACATGAGAGAGAGGCAGGGTGGCGCTGTCTCTAAGGCCGGGGTGAGAGTCGGGTGCGAGAGAAGCTCTTGTAAAGATGTCTGCTATAAAGGGAATGTTCTGGATAAATTCCTCTTGTGCCTCTAGACCCACTTTGTAGTGGTTTTGTTTGTTCGATTTGTTTTTTGTTTTTGTTTTTGAGAGAGGGAGCGCGCACAAAAAAAAAAAAAAAAAGAAAGAAAGGGGCAGAGAGGGAGAGAGAGAATCCCAAGCGGGCTCCATGCTGTCAGCGCAGGGCCCCACTTGGGGCTCAATCTCACGACCCTGGGATCGTGATCTGAGCCGAAATCAAGAGTCTTACACTCAACCGACTGAGCCCCCGGGTGCCCCTCATTTTGTGTTCAGTCTTCCCTGGGAGGATGGTCTTGTGGGTTATGGCAACGGGCTCGCATGCCCCCTGGTCTCTAGGGGGTTTGTCCGAGGCAGCGCCCCAGTGGGAGGTCACGGGGATGGACGAGAGTGAGGTCGGTACGTTTATTCCCCTGGGTCCCTCCCCTCAAAGTTCCTTTTAGGCTGTGTGACCTGAAAAAAGGATACCGCTCCTTTCAAGGAAGCCTTCCCTAGAAAGCTTTCTCTTTCTGGGCTTCAGTCCCCTTTTCCTCGGGCTTATGGGTGGTGACAGCTTGCAGGGCCGATGGGCTCAGGATCCTGTACTGTTCCTCTGGTTGTGTCACACCCTACCCTTCCTTCGCCAGCTGTCCCTTTGTTAATAAGCTGTCCTCCCCTTACCCGAATTTAAATGTGTCCTCTGTCTTCTGTTGGGTGCTTGGCTGATGCGAGGGAGACCAGCAGAATGAGAATCTCCTGGTGCCGTCGCTGGCGTGGAGGAGAGCAAAATAAAAGTTCGCGTAAGTTTCTGACTGCCCAGGGGCCCAGGGCGTTGCCATTTTACGTTGTCCTTCTCCATTTTGGGGAAGAACAGGGAGCGATTTGTCTTCTGAATTTGGAGGCATATTTAAAAAAAAATTTTTTTTTTAATTTTTTTTTCAATGTTTTTATTTATTTTTGGGACAGAGAGAGAGCATGAACAGGGGAGGGGCAGAGAGAGAGGGAGACACAGAATCGGAAACAGGCTCCAGGCTCCGAGCCATCAGCCCAGAGCCTGACGCGGGGCTTGAACTCATGGACCGCGAGATCGTGACCTCGCTGAAGTCGGACGCTTAACCGACTGCGCCACCCAGGCGCCCCTAAAAAAATTTTTTTTAATGTTTATTTTTGAGAGAGAGAGAGCGCGCACGAGCAGGGGAGGGGCAGAGAGAGAGAGGGAGACACAGAATCCGAAGCAGCTCCAGGCTCTGAGCTGTCAGCACAGAGCCCGACGCGGGGCTCGAACCCACACACCGTGAGATCGTGACCTGAACCGAAGTCGGATGCTCAACCGACTGAGCCACCCAGGCGCCCCTGGAGGCATATTTTAAGAGAGAAACCCGTGTTTGCTATTGGTCTGGAGGCCTTGGGATTGGAGGGATCTTACTGGAGCCTTTCGGATCTAGTAAAGAGTTCCCCGAAGGCCTGAAAGAATCTTAATATATTTGAACCTGGGGGAAGATGGGGCCGTTGCCAACTCCTCCGTCCTGAAAGGGTACGGCGGAGGGCATCAGAGCCCCGTGGCCCCACATGAAGGGCAGAAGCCCAGGGACCACGGGTTTCTCTTCCAGGCCAAACGGTGGCACATGTAGCTGAAAACGGCGTCGGGATGTTGCACTGAGGAAAGCTGGCTGCTATCCTGGGAGTTCTTTCGACAGCACCAGCCGGCAGCTGAGCACTGCTCCAAGAGCCAAGCGCTGGGCCTGCAGACCATCCTACCCGCGCGAGCAACAGGTAGCGGGAGGCACAGGAGCCTCTGCCGAGCGGCTTCACCGGAATTTCCTCATTCCGTCCCGGGCCCCCCGTCGGAGGATGGAGGAGAACCCAGAGTCCAAAGGCAGGGAGAGTGATACCGCAGGTGAGTTTTGAGTGATTATACTGGCGTGTAACTTGTGCGGGGGGGGGGGGGGGGGGGGCAACCGGGATGTGACCCGTAGGGATCTGGAAGCCGAGTTGGCGGAGGGAACACGTTGCCAGAGAGCAAGAAGCTTCTTCCCGAGATGGAGGTTGAGGCTCTGGAGGGGAACGGTAGGTTGCGGAGCGGAGGTGGGGTTTGTCAGGGGCTGGAGTCGATGCGGAGGAGAGGAGAGGGCTTCCGGTTGGGGGGTGGGGGAGGGGAGAAGAAAAGAGGGCCTACTGGCGGCTGCGTGAGCTGCAGAAGAGAGGCCCCGGGGACGTGCTGCGCGGTGGCGAGTGTCGGGATGGCTCGCGGTCCCCGATTCTTGAGTGTCGGGAGGGGTGGCTGCAGCGGACGAGGTAGCCTCAGAAAACGAGTGGATTGTGCAAGGAAGCTTCCAAATCGTCTACACCGAACCGGACCGGCTCATCAGGTGACCGACGCTGACGCCTGGCCCGGGGGCACCCGCCGGGGAGCCTTCTGTTTGTCAAAGAATCGTGTGAGCGTTTCTGTCACTCCTGCTTGTTACCGTCGCTTGCAATTTACAAACTCGTGAAGTGGGTAAACAAAAGGTATTGCTTTTATGAAAACCCAGCTCGACTGACTTACGCCTCTGTGAACAAGGATCATTTAAAAATCACCGTCAAGCGTCAAGCGGTGCCTGGGTGGCTCAGTCGGTGAAGCGTCTCTTTTATCCCGGCTCAGGTCGTGGGAGGGCGACTTGCCTGCTTAAGATTCTCTCTCTCTCTGCCCCTCTGCCCCCGCGTGTGGTCTCTCTCTCTCCCTCTCAAAAAAATTAAATAAAAATAAATCACTGTGAATTTAGTGATTAGAAGGAGGCAAGACAGCTGTAGGTGTGAGGAAACCTGTAAAGATCTGGAGGGTCACCGAATTTCATCTTTTCCCTACAAAAACCTTTCGTTTCAAGCTCCCTTTTAAACAGATATCGACTCATCTGGCTGTGGTCTACACAAGAAAGACCCAGAGAAGGTCTTCTTAAGGACCCACGCTCCGAAAACTCCCGCCCGATAGGAAAACACTCGTGGGTGGCTGTTCATTTACGGTTTCGCTTTAGATCAACGTGTTTCAGGTTTGTGTCAATACTTTTTGATTCTCTCTTGATCCCCTTCCGATGTTGGCCGACCGACTAATTCAACATGCAGAAACAGAGGCAGTGTTCAGGCAGAAGCCCGTGGACTCGAGGCCTTTGGGTCACGGCAGAGCGGAAGGTCCAGGAAAGGGGGAGGGAAGCCTGTGGTGAGCCGGGGCGCTGGAGGGGTCGGACGGAAGTGAGCCTCCCAAGAAGGACGCTAGGAGGGATGTGGACCTGCGACAGCGGCTTCTCTAAGGAGGCTCCCGAGACCCACACGTGGGGAGGCGGAGGGGCAGCCGACGCTGCTGGGATGGGAGCGGGCCGATGGCACCTGCAATACGGTGCTGGCCCCGAAGAGCCCGTGCGGGGAAAGCCCCACGGAAGGTTCAGGACTGGACTTGAAGGGGAGTTCCCGACTCCTCCTCTTGCCGGGGAGCCTGGACAACCAAGCCACGGCCTCTGCCTGCCCAGCACCGTGTACTTGTCCTGCACTGTCACTCGGGATCCTTGTCAAGATGGTTTACTCATGTTCCCCTGAAAACAGCCCCGCACGTCGAACCTCCCTCGCCCCACTGTCTGTTGTCATCTTATTTATTCGCCATATCTGGGTGGCCGGTGGCCGGCGCCTTCAGCTCCGGGCAGGTCATGGAACTGGCATCAGGAACGTTTGCAGGTGGACCAGGGTGCACCTTCTCGGGGGATGGTAGGGGGGCATCTGTGTCCGCGGAGAGGAGCTGGTGGGTGGGAGGTGGAGACCCTGGGAACCGGACCACCCGGTTTAATTTAGTGATTAGAAGGAGGCAAGACAGCTGTAGGTGTGAGGAAACCTGTAAAGATCTGGAGGGTCACCGAATTTCGTCTTTTCCCTACAATAACCTTTCGTTTCGAGCTCCCTGGCATCCCTCCCCCACCACCTTGCAGGGACACAGGTCTGGGGGTGGGGAGCGGCTGGACCTTGGGTCTGTTTAATCGCGGCTCTCCCCCCAGGTGCCCTCCAGGTCCGGGCGCGACGGGCAAGTAGGCTATCCGCGTGGTCACCAGGGACTCGCTCCTGGCGGGTTCCAGAAACCTGGTGCAGCTGTGGCTCGTGGGTGAACACGGGGAGGCCGACCTGGGCAAGAAGCTGTGGCCCGTGCGCAGTGAGGTCGGTGCGCAGCCCGCGGGGCACCGGGGGTCCGGGGGAGGAGGCCGGGCGGTGGGGGGGTCCCCGGAAAGGGGCCGGGCGGTGGGAGGGGGGACCGGGTGGGCGTCCGGAGCCCGGTGCCCTGCAGTCCTGCGCGGTCTGTCCGGGTCGGCTCGGAGGGAAGGTGGGCAGTCTCCCCGGCGCAAGACCCGCAAGCCCGGGTCCGAGCCCGCTCCCGGTCCCGCCGCAGACGGAGTTCTAGGTCAGCGTCCCCGTGCGCCTGGGGCGCCTCCTGCTGGCGAAGCTGCGCAAAATCCTGCTGGACGACGCCAGGTTCTGCGAACGGGTCTCCGCGCGGCCCCGGGACCCAGGGCGAAGCCCGCTTCCCCTGCTACCGCCGGTGCGGGGCGACCAGGTCGTCTGCCTGCCGGAGGGCACCGGTGAGGGTGTGGGGGGCGGCGCGCGGGGCTGGAGGGAGCGGGGGTGGGCGTGGGGTCGCCGTGACGCCGGAGAGGGGACAGGCGGAAGGGCGGGGCCGGCGCGACCCAGGTCCAGGGAGGCCTGTGCTGGTGCCCGTCCCCCAGCCCGGACCTTGATTGACGACCACCAGGACTTCCTTAAGGCGCAGCGGGAGCAGGAACTCCAGGAGAGAAAGAAGGTGTACCGGTGAGCCCCCACCCCCATCCCCTACCGAGTCCAAGGAACCCCCAGCCCCCGCTGATCCCCGATTCCGTGTCCTTCCTCCAGGCGGGGCTCCCGGAAAGACGGCTCAATCCCGCCGGTGGCCGGGAGGACGCAGTGTGACCTCCCCAGGAACAAGAGATTCCCGGAGGATAAGGATTTCGACTTCAGGGTCTCCCCAGCGAAAGCGCCAGCGCCCAGGGGAGGGTGGGCACCTGCTCCCCGGGACGCAAAGCAGGGGCCCTTCCTGGTCTCCCGGCACCACCATTCTTTCCGCAGGCTGGAGGGCTTGGCCTCAAGGGTTCCCTGGACCTCACACATCCAGTTAAAAGACCGGAACACTTCAAAAGAGTATCCCCGCGCGCAAGGACTCCCCTGGCTGGTCAGTTGCCGCAAAGTCCCCAGACCTGTGTGCACCTTTCCAACCCAGGGCTCTGAAAGAAGACGGGGAGACCGGAGGGAGGGGGTACGCTAGCGGATCAGGAGCTCGGGGCTCCCCGCAGGCTTCCGGACGGGTGTCTTTAGAGCGGGTTCGAAGTTCAGGGAAGGAGGACGCCTTCTTTGGGTACCAGCTCCTCAAGGGCGCAAACCCCACGCTCCTGAGGCGGCACCAGCCTCCCAGCGCGGCTGCTGGTGCCTCGGGGATCGGAAGAGCTGAACCCCCAGCTGGAGGCCGAGCCCCCGTGTGCTCCCTGTGCTCACCCCCAGCCGCCGCCCCTCCCTCAGTTCTCCCACCAACCTCTTTAATCTATACCCTCCTCCGTCTGCACTCAGGGTTTCTCCGCGGCCGCGGGGGTGTCCTGTTCGGTGCAGGGTCCGGGCACTGCAGAATCAGGTGCTAGCAGCATCCTTCACCCCGGCTTGACGACCCCAAATGACTCCAGACGCTGCCGAACATCCTCTGGGGCGGGAGTGGGGACGAAAGTCCCCCTGGTCAAGAAGCGCGGAGCTAACGTCTGCCCCTGGCATCCCGGTCTTTTCTTGCCCGTCTTCTTCCTTCGTCAGATGCGTCTCAGGCTTCAGGAAAAGCCGGAGGGCAAGGGAGGGCAAGGGAGACGGAACAAAGCCCTGGAGAGAGCTGGAGCAATGGGGCTTTTTGGAGGGGAGGAAAAAGGGACTGTTTTCTAAGAAT